AAATATATATCCTTATAAATGAAACATTTTGTTAGTAGAGAAAAATAATTTTTTTGGCATAACTGAATATTTACCAAGATTGACCCACAGCTGAATATGTGATGCATGTCTAGTAGCGAAATATAAAAACTTGTAATAATTTTTTCAATATTTTTCCAAAATTTCTTTATTTACTCTAATACATTTCTGTGCCTAATTTTACAATTCAATTTCAATAAAATGATTAAAAAGGGAATACAGATAATTTTCATAGATATCCTTAATAATCTGAAAATGTTTTAAAAAATCCAGACCTGGGTTTACAAAAGTTGTCTGGTTCCTACTTTGGCGAGCCCTGAAACAATTATTAAAACAATTTTATCAGTACTTACATTGTAATAAAATTGTTTGTTATTATTGATTTTTTAAGAAAGTTAAATAATTAGCACTGTCACTGGTAGTATATATTTATTCGATGATATACAATCATACCATTATTTAAAGGTCCTTAATTTTTTTTAAAAAAGTCCTTAATTTTTTCAAAAAAAGTCCTTAAAAGTGCTTAATTTTTACTTTGTTAAAAGAGTGGGAACCCTGTAAAAATAATACATTTTTACTAAAATTTATTTTTTGCATAGAATTTTTTTTGGATGAACGAATTTTGCGTGTGCAAAATTTTTTCCATTCTCTTAAAGTTCTCGAGATATGGTGAAATATGTAGAAAGTAAAATTAACATTAAAGGGTAGACTTTGGACAGCTCTCCTGACCATAATTATATGTTTAGTGTCCAACATTGTAACCTAAAATATCGTCTGCACTAATTAAGCATATTTGAAGTCACCCCCTTGAACAATTAAGAATGTGAAGATATGTACACACTTGGAAAAATTGAAATTCCTACCCTTAGAAATATTTCATTATTCAAGTTCTATACTCGTAAGATTAATTACAAAATTATAATAATTAGCAAGTTTAGTTAAATGCTAGAGATATAAATTTATGTTGTTTTTTTCTTCCCGATAAATGTTCTTTTAAATTATTCCAATTTCTTTAGTAAATTTTATCAGAATAAGAATTTTAATTTATCTAGAAAATAAAAATAATTTTTATATTTGGTATCTGAATTACATTTATATTAGAATAATTTTTAAGTTCTATCCTTTTTAAACTTATCTAGAATTTATTGTTATTTCTGTCTGCAATCAAAATGTTGCTAAATTTATTCCTTGAATAGCACACTTCACTGCCTTATTAGAGCTATTTGGTAAAAGAAAATTTTTTTTAACTCGTTTTAAAACTTATAAGAATAACTAACAAAATGTATAATTAATACTCCTGTATATAACACTATTTTCACAAATATTTTCAAATGATTTTACAAATAAATAAGACCGATACAAATAGTGTTTCCCCTTATCTAACTAAGCATATCTTTTAGACAAACATTATAAGTTTTAGATAATTATTACAACAATTGACTCAGAAAACAGAGGTAGATAAATATTACCTTGTCTTTGTAATCAAAAGAAATTAAGAACTTTAAAGATTACTTTTTAAATAAATTAAACAATGGTATTAATAAGTATCAAGTAATTAAACAAATTGGAAATTAATTTTAAAAACTGAAGTACTAATGATTTAATAAAATTTTTCAGAAGAGCGGAATACTTTAATTCATAAATATATATATTGATGCCATATTTAAATTATTGCAGTTGCATCAGTAAAATTTCTACATGCAAAATTTAATAACGTTTGCGGATATCTTAAGCAGTTAAGTCATTTGATAACTTGTCTTAATAGCAGCAAATCTGGTTATGGCCAAATACCCTAATATAAAAAAAATTTGGAAAGATTTTTTTTTTATTTTTACAATTTTCAAAATTTAAATATTTCTAATTCTTTTTGTATTTCTTAATTATCTTTTACGAAAGCTATCTATAGTTTTATTGTTCTATAGTCATCATGGTAAATTTCTATTTTTGCATTTAAATATGCTTTGATGTGTATAAATCCAGAGTTCTCCCTAGAAATTAAAAAGAGCAGGGTGCTACCTTACAAAAATGGGCGCTTACAGTTTTGAGAGGGCACTCACTTAACACTGTAAAAAATTATCAAATGTATAATATTAGGTAATAACTGAATTTGATCCTTAACAATTTTTAAATTACCCTCTAATACTATTTTATTTCAAAAACAATAATCACTCAGTATTAAAAAAAAAGAAAATTTTGTAGTTAAAAAAATTAAACATCTTAAACAACAATCACCGTGACAGAATTATTTTTAAAAAAAAGTACTAAGAAAATGATCAATTGATAAACTTGAAATGTTTTTTTTTTTTTATAATTTAAACTGAAAATTAGGAAACAATGAACATTTAATAATAAATTTTTTTCTTCAGGAAAAAGTATTTATTTAAAAAATTCATTAATATACCCCCCTTTCCCTAAAAAAGTGAAACTTTTAACACAGAAATATTTGATGCAACTCTCAGAAATAATTTTGATTTTTTTGCAAATATATATTTTAATGAAAAATAAGCCCCTTAGATTGCAAATACATGTTTTCATAGTTTACCACACATAACTGCCATTTTTGTGTAATTCCTTGTCTTATCTCGGGAACGAAAATATAATTGCTCCATGACTTCAATTCCCCCCCCCACATTATTGCAATTAAAAAAAGTAGACAATTCCATCAAAGATATAATTAAGTGTATTTACTCTATTTATCAAGTTCCGTAATTATCTTTCATAACCCCTCTTCTCTTTGAGCAAATTTATTTCATTAACAAATTAATTCGAAGGAAGTTACAGAAATTTTTAATAACATTATAGAGATAATAATTTTAAAAAAAGGTACCTGTGAAATGTATAAGGTCGTCTTTTAAAAAAAAAATTCAGTACAACCATGTGCAGCACAGTAAACCAACATATTATTTTTCACTGAAACAACAAACTAGGTAATGGTAAAAAAAGTGCATTGATTCGACCTCTAGACTTGTGGCTACATTTTGAGAAAAATAATGTGTTCTTCCTTTACATTTCTCTTCTATTACTTAAAATTCTTTGTGCATTTTAGCCAAAATTAACACTGAGTTCTCGTTTGCGTCTCGAAACAACTCCTTTAAGTTTTAACAAATTACTAAACATCCTGTAATAAAGGAATTTTTATTAAAATAGTTGGAAAGAAAACATTGAATATTACAAACATAGATGTTAATAATTTTATTATGTTAGAAACATACTAGCTATAAGCTCCTTGAAGGACAACAACCACGCCAAAAGAGAAAAAAACTCTTTAATCTTAATAATAATGAGAAAAAACTTGAATTCTGTGGTAAGGTGTACGAGAAATGCATTTACAGTTTGATGAAAGACATTTCCTTATTTGAAAGCTTCTTATATAAAAATTGAATTTCATATGATAAATAAAGTCTATACAAGTTATACATTATTCATCTAAGTATTCAAAATCTTCTGGTGGTTCAGGTTCATCTTCGTCTTCTACCTTGGGTCCGCCAGCTATAGAAACAAAAAATTTCACATTTATGATTTGATTTCTACTAAACGGTAACAAGAAAAGATATTGGCTATAACAAGATAAAATAATCAGAAAGCTTTAATTTATATCAAGCAATAACGAAAACTGACAGCTACATAAGTGAATGGATTTTAGTTAAATATCAATCACTATTAAATCGAACAGAAGTTCGTGAAATTTTTCACCTCATAAATGAAGTAAACATTTCAAAAAATGCATCATTTCTTAGCTTTCAAATCGTTATCCCAAGAAATGCATGATTGACCAAACTATCAGAAATATTTTAGGCGCAGAAAACTGGATAATAAGACCGTAGCTGTGACTTTTAATATTGTTAGAAAAATCTCCATGTTAACTGAATGTTTAAAAATTAACTTTTTCAGAATAAATATCTTTTAATGATATCAAAGAGAAAAAGGCTAATCAAATGTAAAGATCATGTACATAGTCCATTGACATACTTCAGTTCTCAATTATTTAGATAAATCAATATCTAAACAGATTGCTCAGTTTTAAGAAACTTATACAAACTATAATGATAATATAAAATTGATTGATTTCTATGCATTAAAATGATCAATTTTTGTTATTATTTTATTATTTGATAAATTTTATGTGTTTAGAATGTTCATTTTGGAAATTGCTTTTCATTATGATGGCTCAAAAGCACTTGCACATTTTCATGAGCATTGACAGGTTGAATGCATAATCCGGAAGTAGCAACAAAAAAAAAACTTTTATTTTTACAGAACAAAAAACTTATTTGAGAGACATTTTATTACATTTAAATTGAAAAGAAGTCAGCATGAATAACATTGGGCCATCAGTAACTTTGAATTAAATTTTACTAAAACAAATTTCTTACTCGTTAGCTCAATAAATACTATTTCCAACCTCTCTGGTTAAAATTCGTTTATCATCAGGTTAATCATGAAAGGCTTCTGTGTATTATCTCTTCGTGTAACATAACATAATTACTCGTTAGTTTTACCCAAAAAAAGTTTTTCGTCAAAGCAAATTTGCTCCTTGTTTGTTGCCTGATGTAGAAGTTACTTCATCATTTAAGGGTTCAAAATTACTAGGATATCTAGTTAGAATCTTAACATTTAGGATACTAAAACCACTATTTTACTCTTATGTTAAACTTTGATAATGAGATAAAATTTCTCACCAGGCATCGAAAAGTTTGTGAAATTGTATTGAGGTAGATCTCATTGCACATAAATTAAGTTTATAGTTGCTGAATGATTAAACGTTAAACATTGATAGTCAAGACATTCTTAATTAAATATGCTGTCATTTTTGTATTATTAAAATATTTTATGTCAAACAGAGGCTATGTGCATAAATGCGATTGAAAAATTTATTATGAAGTCCACTCTTAGCAAGCATCTCCAATCCATAGAAAAGTTTTACATTAATCATTCTGCATAGGAAAAGTCATCCCAAATTCCTTATAGAAACTTTAAAAAAGATCTTAAATTTATTCATTTAGACGCACTATAAATTTCCTAAGAATTATATCTTAAATTTTCCTTTGTACCCGGAAGTCCACTGGGCAAAAAATTCATTTTTCACAAAGTACCGACTACCTAGACGTGGCACGTCTCTAGCAATGATAATGGAATTTTTACAATAATGCAATTTTGTTAGTTAGAACAAAAGTTTTTTTTAAAAAATTTATAAAATTCTTTTTTACCTGCAACAGGTTCAACTAACTCTACCGGATCATCACTTTTATTATCTTTCATCATAATTATACCACCAATAGTAATCTAAATAAAGAAATAATTAATAGAATTACACATACAAAAATCCAATAGATTATATTGTGTTTTTGTTTTTTAAGATGCATAATAACCATGAACACTAAGCAATGAAAATAATAAAAATATAAAAAAATTTTGGTAGACAATTGTTATAAACAATTTGAAACTTCATTTTTCTATTAATAATAATAGAAAAGATTGAGATGTTTTCTAATGCTAAAATATCCCAATTTCAGATATTTTCCATTATTTTGTTTCTTTTAACACTCAATTATGCAGTTATAATTTAAATAATTTTTCCGTTCCATGTTTTTAAATAATTTTCAATGCGAAACATTAACTGCAGGAAGTAATACATAACATATAATTTTTTAAATGGTGAAATTAATTCAAATCAAATGATTAAGATAGCAATTTTATAAAAGGATAAATTGTTGGACATTAATTTGATTTATTGATTTCAAAATAACCAGATTGCTTGAGCTGAATTTATTAAACACAATGAAACTAAGTTAAAAATAGCACAAAAAAGGGGGAAAAATAGAATGGCGCCTGAAGCTTTTGAAGGATTAGCTATATTGGCAATTCATTAATTAAAATGTTGCCTTAGATTTCATTTAAAAAATTCAAAATAGTATAATAACATGAAATTAACATTATAATTGAAGTTTACTTTTTGGTTAACTGCGCAGATAGAAATTCAACCATTTTTAATTTATTTCTTTAAATATTTATGTGTTTAAGAAACAAAAAAGGTTTTCGAAGTCAAACAGAAAAATATTGTAAAAACTAGGAATAGTCAATATATAATAATCAATCAGGGTTGGCAAGATTTTGCCGCAGGTGGAAAAAACCATGGTAAATACCGGTAAAAACCGTCCTGGCAAAAACAGGTTTTTGCCAAGCAAAGTGGCAAAAAGTGGCAAAAACCTATATTTTCCAAGATGAGAGGACAAAAACACATTTTTGATACAAAATTATTCCTAAAATTGAAATATATACTATGAATATAAATAATTACAAAAAAATTAACAAAATTATTATTCCATAATTAAATCATAATGTAATAATATATCATTTTAGTAGTTTAAAACATTATTGATTGGAAAA